CCCCAACTAAAACTCTGTATTCATTGTATACTACCTTTCCGTTTCCCCTACTCCAAACCCTTTCTGAATTTGTGGAATAATAACTGTTCATTTGTGACTGGCTTAGTTGTTAGCAGAAGGTATTCATGTTCCATCTATATTGTAGCATCTATGAGAGTTGTTTCCCTTTTTAAAGCTGATTAATAGTCCTGTGTGTGTGTGTGTGTGTGTGTTTATCCATTAGCTGTCAAACACTTGCGTTGTTCCCTCGTTGGCCACTGTGCATAAATAACGCTGCAATAAACATTGGTGTATGAGAATCTGTTTGAATACCTGTTTTAATTTCTTTCAGGCTTACACCTAGGAGTAGAATTACTGGGACATAATGGCAATTTTGTTTACTTTAAAAATTATTGTCTTTCCATCCATGGGATGTTTTCCTTTTTTTCCCCTCAACTTCCTTCTGTGGTGTCATACTTTTCAGGATGTAAGTCTTTTGCCTCCTTTGGTTAAGTTATCCCTAAGCACTTCATTCTTTTAGATGTTATTGTAAATGGAATTGTTTTTGTAATTTCCCTTTCAGATTGTTTATTATTAGTGTATAAAAATGCAGCTCATTTTTGTGTGTGGCTTTTTATACCTTGAAACTGTTGAATTAGATTATTCTGATCTTTTTTAGTGGAATTTTTAGTTTTCTACATATATAATAAAGTAATCTCAAACAGATAATTTTACTTCTTCTTTTCCAACTTGCATGCATTTAATTGCTTTTTTCTTGGCTAATTACTCTGGTTAGAACTTCTAGTACTTTGGGCCTCCCCTCATGGCGCAGGGGTTGAGCGCTGGGCTGCGAGGCTGCCCGCAGCCTCTGCAGCGCCGGTTCGTTCCCTGGCCCCCGGAGAGGGTCCCACCAAAAAAAAAAAAAAAAAAAAAAGAACTAGTACTTTGCTGAGTAGAAGTGGCAAAAGTGGACACCGTTGTGTTTTTCCTAATATTAGAGAAAAAAAAAGGCTTTGTCTTTCACCATTGAATTGATGTTAGCTGTGGGTTAATACGGCCTTTCTTATGTTGAAGTAGTTTCTATTTCCAGTTTCCTGAGTAATTTTATCATAAAAGGTCGAATCTTATCAGATGTTTTTTCTATATCAACTAAGATGGTCATGGAATTGTCCCCCTTGGCTCTTTCTTTAATGTGATGTGTTACAATGATATTCATGTGTTGAACTACTCTTGCTTTTCAGGAAATAATTCTACTTGGGCTTGGTGTATGTGTGTATGAGTCTTTAAAATGCTGAATTATGTCTGCTAATATTTTGTGGAATATTTTTGTACCAGTATTTATGTGGGATATTGGTCCGTAGTTTCCCTGTGGCATCTTTGACTTTGGTAGTAAGATAATGCTTAATTCACATATTCTTGGATTTTTCATTTTCTCTTATTATTATTATTATTTTTTTTTAAAATAGAGGCATGTTTTATTTATTTATTTGTTTGTTTGTTTGTTTGTTTATACATGCACTGGGTACAGTCAGAAGCGCGGGAGGGTGAGAGAATTCACCAGAGGCAGAGCGGGGAGCAGAGCAGGCAGAAGGACCGAAGTACACTGCTGAGGAGTGGTCTGCGCGCCATGTGGGACCCTCCTCTGGTGGCCGGGGAGCAGCCGGGGATCGAACCTGCGTCGCAGAGGGCGCGGGCAGCTTCGCAACCAAGCGCTCAACCGCTGCGCCACCGGGGAGGCCCATTCTCTTATTATTTTTAGCTTTATTCCACTGTTAATGTACAAGATAGTTTGTATGATTTTTGCCGTTTTAAAACTTATTTATTTAAAAGATTTATTTATGCATACAAGAACTGGGGTGTAGGCCAGAGGTGTGGGGGGGGTGAGAGGATTCAGACAGAGTGGGGAGCAGAACAGGTGAATCTACTGAAATACACAGCTGAAGGGAGCAGTGGGTGAGAGAGGAGAGGTCTGCTGCACCCTATGGGTTAGCTCCCTGGCTGGAGGTTGAATTCAGGCCACAGTGGCTGGCAATAGCTTGGTGGTGCTGAGACTTTAACCCCTGCACCACCAAGGAGGTCCCATTTTAAATTTAAGGCATGTTTTAAATATGGTCTCTCTAAACAATACTTTGATCTACTCCTCCAGCTACAGTTTGGTTAGTTGTACCAATAATGTCCTTTATCACATTTCCTTTCCCCAGTATACAATTTATTTTGGGATTGATAATGCATTTACTTGTCTTTTCACATTTATCCTTTCTAATCTGGAGCAGTCCCTTAGGCTTATTTTGTCATGATACTGACATTTTTGAAGTCTATAGAACAAATTATTTTATAGATTGTTCCCAGTCTGACTTTATATGATGTTCCCTCATGATGAGATTCAGAGAAGTATCCCATTGTATCAACAACATAAGTGATGTTGTATTGTCCTTAGGTGATGTCATCTGGACACAGGAGTTATCCATCTGCCCCTCATTGGTGATATTAGTGTGATATCTATTCAAAGTGTTGTCTGATTTGTCCTCTATGTAATAACGATTTTTCCTTTTTGGGGAGATGCTGCTAGACCATTAATGCTGCTCTATTAATATACTTTTCTCCTTGGTTTAACATCTATTATTGATTCTTGTTTGAACCAATCTTTATAAAATTGTTATTTACCAACTTTGCCATTTGTTTTATACTCTAAGAGTGAGCCCTCCTTTCTTGGGCATTTGTATATTTCACTGACTTACTAGTATGGGCTCATGGAGTTCCTCTTTTACTCACTAATTTATATTCATTACTATCATTTTTTAAAAAAAGATTTATTTATGCATATAAGAGCTGGGGTATAGGCCAGGGGTATGAGAAGATTCACCAGGAACAGAGTGGGGAGCAGAACAGGTGGATGGACCAAAATACACTGCTAAGGGGAACAGCGGCTGAGACAGGAGAGGTCTGCTGCATCATGTGGGTCACCTCCCTGGCTTGGGATCGAACTCGTGCTGTAGTGGCTGCGGATAGTTTCATAGTGCTGAGACTTAACCCCTTGTGCCACCAGGGAGGCCCCCATTACTACCATCACTTTGATACTCAAATCATCCTTAATTTAGCCAGTGGGAATCCCTTTAATCTAACTTCTATGCCCTTTTAATATGAGAACCAGTGTCAGATGTATACTTATGGGTAGTGTATTTTGGTTCCTGAAGAACGTTTTCCTACCCTGAACTCATGAGGATGGCTTCTATTTTTTAAGAGCTTTATTATTTTTACCTTTTACATTGATGTCTGTAATCTACTTGGAGTTGATTTTTATGCATAGTATGAAATAGAGATTAGTTTCATTTTTTGGAAAATATAAATGACTAGATGACCTAGAGTCTTTCATTGAAAGAGCCTCCTTTCCTGTTCTATACTACCACATATATCATGATCAGCTGTCCATATCAAGAGTTTTTTCACTGAGCTCTATTGCTTTGCCTTTCCCTCTGCCAGTACCACACTATATCAACCACAATGGTTTTATGACAAATGCCGATATCTGGTGCGGCAAGTTGTGTTAGTCTTCTTCATGTGATATGGGATATCCTTGTCCTTTTGTATTTCCACATTTTTTATACCTTTCATTGAGAGGTAATTGATGTGATAACCTTCACATACTTAATTTGTACAATTTGAATTTTTATACATGTATACTATTATAAAGTCATGATCACTATGAAGATAATGAAGTTAGCCATCACCCCCCAAATTTTCCTCATGTGTCTTTGTAATCTAGCCTTCCCTATCTCCCTGCCTTGTTTTTAGGTAGCCATTCATCTGCTTTCTATCATAGTAGCTTAATCTGCATTTTCTAGGGTATACATTTTCTAGGGTGTACAAAATACAAACAAAAATATATACTCTTTTGTGGGGTTGGGAACTTCTTTATGTCAGACAATTTAATATTCACCTATTCATGGACATTGGGCAGTTTGGTGCTATTAACCAAATAATGCTATTGTTAGCATTAGTTTACAAGTCTTTATATGGAGTAGCAAAGAAAAATCTTTCTAGGTAATTTTTTTCTGACAATGCTCCAAGATAAGGAGTCATAAAATAAAGACTAACAGAAAACATACAATAGTCTAAGGACCAATTTCCTATGTATATAAAAGCAACTATCCGTTAAGAAAATGGGCAAAGTATATGAACAGTATGCTGACAGAGATGACTGCGCTAAGGTATTTATTGCAGAATTGCTTGACATAGGAAAATACTGGGAACCTAAATGACCATCAGTAGGTGATAGGTAAATAAATTGTTATTCTACTATGAAATGATCTTTAAGAAGTTTTGGAACAGTGTATTCCCAGGATACTTACTGTGCTAGAAAAAAATATATTAATGCTTATATATGCATAGGCATCTCGAGAGATGATAGTGATGCCTTTGGGGCTGGTTATTGGAGGCCTGGAAATAGGACTGAGATGTAGACTGACTTTCCACTGTCTATTTCATTGTTTTACAATATGCCTTTATCAGTAAATTGGAAACCAAGAATTAAAAGCCCATCACCCTTTCAAAAAGCCAAAGCTTTGATTATCATTATTTCTAGTTAGCTTTCTTTATAAAGTGATGGCTGAATTTTATGCAAGTTGCAAGCCATCACAGTGCCTTGGTTCCCTTTCTTATTTTGGGGAATGGTGATGATACCTAGGCTTTAATGACACAATCTATAAACATAGAAATTGTTTATGCATAATAAGCTCTGAATAAGGGCCACCTGTTACTCTGCTATACAGGTGAATGATCCTGAAATGTTAGCAACACTGTAATCATTTTGCTGAGGTAGAACCATGATATTGAAGATTTTTTTTAATAGTGAAGGAGGGAAATCTTGTGTTTTTTGTTTGGGTGGGCATCTTTGAGCTGCTTCCTAACCTGCTTCTATTCCATGTTGCCTCCTGCATTTGTTTTCTTAGCTGTGTGAAAGCTAAGGCTCCATTTAGCTCTAGTGATCTGAGATTGACCCTTCTGGAATTCTCTGATTTCAGGACACCTCCTACTTGTTCATCACTGGCCCTGATGTTGTGAAGTCTGTCACCAACGAGAATGTTACCCAGGAGGAACTCGGTGGTGCCAGAACCCACACTACCATGTCAGGTTAGAGGCCTCAAGGCTCACCTTGCTGTGTTCCAACACTGAGAAGAGGGCACTGGCAAAAGGAATGGTGACAGTATTTTAAAAATATCACTTAATTGGAAGAATTTGAAAAGACTGTAGTAGAGTCTGTTGACTACAAGTATAGTGATAAAGGGGTATTCATATCTCAAATTTGTTACAACAAACAGTATTACTAATGCTTTGAGATTCTTTAAAATTTTATGGTTGACCGAAATAGTTGTTCTAAGATGTATGATATAAATGTATATGTAGTATATCTGCATGTATATGCATAAAATATATTTTACATGGACCTACATATATGATATGCATGTACGGATACATACGCACAGAATCATCCTTTACATAAATACTGTGTTTCACTGTGATTTTTTTTATTGCAGTGTCACACATGTCTTAGAGTAGAGGTTTTACCAATCACATTGGATTATCCAGGTCCAATTGTAATGTGGTGGTCATGGCCCAAGTGTTTGTGAACTTGGTCATAGTTCTTTACTTTTTTATGCTGAGTATGATATGTATGAAGATCATTTGGTGCTTTGGAATTGAAACAAAAGTTAACTATTTATTTGGAAAAATCATAGAGTTGGGAGCAGGGCATGAATCTGATGTGAGTGATGATACATTTGCTGTTGGACTAATGATTGGAATTCCTAATTATTTTGGAAGAAAACACCAAGTTTTGAAAAGGTTGCCTACTTCCTCACAACAGTGTAATTGAAGACAGGAGAAATTTCCCTCTTTGAAAGATTTCAAAACAAAGAGTGGCTGGTGTAGACTGACTTACCCATGGCATTGTACTTTGTTCAAGGGGTCATTGTTTACCTGTCACCATTTTTTTGGTCACATAAGTGTAATAGAGTTGTGTCTTACTATCTGTGAGGTCTTAGATTTGATGAAAGGTCAGTGCTCTTGATTCCTCTGCCCACAAAAATTGTTCCCCCCTCATGTCAGGTTGGCATCCACTTTGCCTAATTCCTTTCCCTCACCCATTAGCTCCTTACTGCTCCATCTCTGACACGTTGGGAACCAGAATTCTTTTTATCCTGACTCCTGCACAGCCTGTCATCATTCTTGTCTCAGTGTTTATTTTTTTATTTATATATTTCCTACATTATTGTTCATTTTTAAACAATGTTTGATTTCTTCCCCTTCGCTCTCAAGTGTAGTGCCCGTAGAGTTTCCTTCCCCAAGGCACCCGTGCACCCTCACCACAGTCCCCTGTGCTCCTCCCTCCCTCCCTCTGATCCCTCTCCCTCCTCCTCCCCTGCAGGATGTCTCTGGTTTATAATTGTCTGTCTGTTTCTGTTTTGTTTTATATTGTTATTTCCCCCCCCCATGTCTTATTTGGTTCCCCTATATTCCTCCTATAAGTGAAATCATCCAATATTTTTCTTTTTCCTTCTGACTTATTTCACTGTTGTCTCAGTGTTTAAATGGCAGCAGTTTTTTCTTGCCTGGGATGTAAAATGATGTTGAGTCTTGATAGCATCTTAGATCTGATGAAATATGCTCTTTTTTGTTGATCTCAACAATAGTGTTCATTTATAGTAGACAATTTAGAAGACACAGGAATAAAAATTGCTAGAAATTTCATTATCTACAGATTATCGTCACTTAGGTTTTGGTTGTACCCCTACAGTCTTCATGCTGAAGGGTGTGAATAGACACATGTACTCAAAATCCAAAATAGACACGTGCCTACATATGCATGAGTGCACAGTGCTCTTCTGTGACTTCTTTTTTTCCACTCAACAACTTAATGATTATCTATCTAAGACATTAAGTAACCTTTTGCAGCATAATTTTTGTCTTAAAGGCATCGCTTGTTATTCTTTCTGAGCCTGCTGCTCTTTGATGGGCCATATCTGATGAGCTTAATGATGTAACATCGGAGCAAAACCCAAAAGATGCTCTACACATACTTTTTTCTTTATGGTAACAGCTTTATTAAGATATAATTCATTAAATCTTTTTATTTTTTATTTTTTTTTTTTATAGAGGAATGTTTTATTTATTTATTTTGTTTGTTTGTTTTGTTTATACATGCACTGGGTACAGTCAGAAGCGCGGGAGGGTGAGAGAATTCACCAGAGCCAGAGCGGGGAGCAGAGCAGGCAGAAGGACCGAAGTACACTGCTGAGGGGAGCAGCGGGCGGCAGGAGAGGTCTGCGTGCCATGTGGGATCCTCCGCCGGTGGCCGGGAAGCAGCCGGGGATCGAACCGGCGCCGCAGAGGCCGCGGGCAGCTTCGCAACCCAGCGCTCAACCGCTGCGCCACCGGGGAGGCCCAAGATATAATTCATATGTTAGACATGCAAAATGCCCATTTAGAATATACAATTGAGTGGTTTTTAATATATTCAGTGTTGTCCAGTCCATCATCCCATTTTTAGAACATTTTCATAACCCCCAAAAGAAACCCTGCATCCATTAGCATTTGCCCACCATTTCCTCCCAAATACTCCAGCTCCAGGTAATTACTAATACATTTTCTATTTCTGTGAACTTACCGCTTCTGAATATATATGGAATAAACATGAAATCATAAAAAAGTGGTCTTTTGTGACAAGTTTCTTTTACTTAAAATATTTTTAAGGTTCATCCTTACTCTTGGGATATTTTAAAGATTCATCTGTGGCATGACTCAGTACTTCATCTTTTATGTTGCTGAATCACTTTTTGATCTATGGATTTAACATTTTGTTTATTCATTGATCAGTTAATAGATATTTGAGTTGTTTCCACTTTTGACTGTCATGTGAATATGCTGCTGCAACATTCAGGTGCAGGTTTTTGTGTAGACGTTTTTTTGTTTTTCTTGGCTATTGACCTGGGAGTGGAATTTCTGGGTCAAATGGTAACTAACTCTTTGAGGAACTCTCAGACGGTCCTCCAGAAGTGCTGTACCAATTTATAAATGTTTTTTGAGGGAAAGAATTGACTTGTTATACTTTTTATTAATTCAACAAGTGCTCATTGCATGATATCTCTCAATCATTGTCCTCTGAGCTAGAAATACATTTGTGAAAGAAACTTAAAAAACCCTCATGCCTGTAGAGGCTTTTGTTCTAGATGAGGAGGTAGACAATGATAAACCTTTAAATAGGGATATAGTGGTATTATACTAGGAGGGTAATACATGTTGAAGAAAAAGTAAAACAGTGTAAAGGAGGTTGGGAGTGTTGTTGTTATAAATAGGATGGTAAGGGTAGATGACCCACTGCCAGGGTAAATGTGGAACGGATGTGAAGGAGTTAACAGTGCGGATATCTAGGGGAGAAACACTGCACGCAGAGGGAATAACCTTTGCAAAGACCCTGAGCAAGGAAAGTGGCAGGCATGCTCAGTGAATAGCAAGGAGGGTGGATAGTGTTAGAGGTATACAATTTGATCTGGCTTCAAAAGCTCACTTTGGCTGCTGTGTGATTAAGAGACTATAGGGCCAGTGGTGGAAGCAGGGGTTCTGGGGAGGTGAAGCTGAGAGAGTTTCTGGTCCTATCTTCTCTCATGTCTATGGCCTGGTTGACTGTTCTGTGACTTCAGAGTTTTTTTTGAGAAATGTCAGCTCATTTCCCTCCTTATGGAGTATAGTACAATAACATTACATGCCAGATATTAATTTGCTAAATCTTTTCTGCAACTTTGGAGACAATTGACATATAACCAGGCATTATTTTAGATGTGGGACTCTAGTGGTAAGACAGATTTCACCCTGTTGGAACTGATGTTCTAGGAGAGAGGTCAGGCAGTGAACAGGAAAATAGGTGCTGCAGAGAACAGTGAGTGGATGGGGATAAAAAATAAGAGACATGCAGATTGGGGTGTTCTAGTGATGGGTCAGGGAAAACACTTCTGATAGGTGCATAGAGTATGATCTTGGCAGAGGCATAGGTACAGAGCAGAGGAAGCAGGTCACATGGACTGAAGGCCCGCCTGAGGTAGGTGGCTGTGGTAATCCCATCGTCAATGGAGAGGACTAAGCTATCATCACAGTCTGCTTCAGATACACTTGGGAAGGACAGGTAGATCTGAGGCAGCATCTTTGGGCTCTCAGGAGCACTAGCCTGTTTTATCCTCCCTGTTTTCTCAGGTGTGGCCCACAGAGCTTTTGAAAATGATATTGATGCTTTGTGTAATCTCCGGGAGTTCTTCAACTACCTGCCCCTCAGCAATCAGGACCCTGCTCCCATCCGTGAGTGCCATGATCCCAGGTGAGTTGCAGACTGGAGTGGCTTCTCTCATTTTGCAAGATGGCTTGCCTTTCTCTGGGTGCTCCACCCCAGCAGGACCTCCAGCATCTACCCCATTGGGCAGCTTGGAGCTGACTGTGTGGTGGAGTAAGCTTGGGTCCCACCTGTGCATGTGGTGGGACCTGGGTACAGGAACAAAGAAAGATGTTTTTGTTTTTTCCTTTGTGTAGTATCTGAGAAGTAGCTTGGGAGTAGAAAGTGGCAAAAGAAATGTTTTTAGTATCTAGGAGATTTCTAATTTGTCAAGAATTAGAGATGGGGGTTTTTTTGGTTTTGACATGAAGTAAGTGTGAAGTGGTACACCAGCCTTGTAGGCCTCCAGCACATGGGCTTCTACATGCCTGCTTGTGACTAGAGGTGGGTGCAGTGCTGGGGACTGTTGTGTTGTGGGCTAACTAGTGAACCACTTCTTGCTTGCTTGCTATGGGGACCACTGCATGGCATCACAGAGTAATCTAGAGGCCCTGCCAGGGAACTATTGCTCCAGATGTCTGGCTGCTTTCTCTTCCATTTTGTTTCCTGCCCAAATTAGTACTCATTGACTTGGGCATTCTTCTGCAGAAGGATTTTGGAATTCTCTCCATTGGGAAGAAACCATTTTGAGACACTGTTCTGTGAAGTAGACTTGGGTTCTTACCAGTGGGCCCTGTCTGTCCAGGTGTGCTCCAAAGAATCATATCCCCATCACTCCACCCATCTGCCTTTGCTCCATTCCTCAAGGGGATACAACCAGAAGCCCACTATGCATGGTCATAATAGGGAGGGAGAGGTTGTATGGCCCATAAGCAGTGGGCTTAGCTTCCTTTTCTTAACATCGATACTATTTGGGATTCTTGAAAGAGTTTGGATACCATTTGAAGGTGTTATGGCCCAGAGCCCTGGAAATGTCTAAATAATGTGTGTTGGCCCAGTCATATTTTCTCTGCTATGATTCCAGGGAAATACATGCGTATGTGTAAGTAGCAAATGAAAAGCAAGGGAGACTTTATTATCAGAGTGGAATGCTCTGGGAAGTTGGGCTTGATGAGCATGTGGCTTGACCCAAGGCCAGACCTTAGTCCAGGTGTACCTCAGGGCCAGAACACCCCCTGCCTGACTACATGGGACAGGAAGGAATGAAAGCCTGTTGGAAAGTCTGACATGCTGAGTCCTCCTCTGGTGTGGTGGAGTGGGCTGTGGTTCAGCTACTGCTCAGTCACACAACACAGGAGGAAGCAGATAGCCAAGAGCCTGTGTAACTATTTAGTTTTCAATGATTCTGTCCCCCAGGATCCTGAAATTTTGCCCTTTAAAGGCGCTATTGCAGGTTTGCCTTCTGTCTGGGAATATGAGCTTATAGTGGTTTTAGCAGAACTCTGGCCTGGCTTTGCATTTCTGAGTCATTGGTGTCTTTATTCTTAGTGTCTCAGGTGGTTGACGGTGTCCTCCCACTAAAGTGCTTATATAGTGCCACACAGTGCCTAAAATACAGGAGGTGTTCAGAAAAGATAAATAAAGGAATCACGTTCAGGGGTGTAATTCCATTTCTCTTCTCAATGAAAACAGAAAGGTCATTTGGGGTTGATACCTAGCCCTGGGTCGGTTTATATGGTGGCAACAAAGGAATTAATTTTGGGGGACCACTTTAAAAACCCAGCAGGAATAGAACTGACCTAGCCCTGACAATGTATCTCCCTTTCCCTTGCCCATCTCCTACCCACAGACAGTAACTGGTTCTGCCATTGTTGTTGATATCTGCTGCTTTTTTCTTTCCAAAGTGACCGCTTGGTTCCTGAGCTTGACACAGTTGTTCCTTTGGAATCTACCAAAGCCTATGACATGGTGGACATCATACATTCTGTAAGTGCTGCATCTGCCTGCCTTGCCTGTGCCAGCTTAGCCACTTCCATGATCACTGTGCTTTGCCTAATGAGTAGGTGCTGGGCCTGCAGCTCTTACACTGGTCAACACAGGCAGAACCTTAGGGACAGGCCAATGAGTAGTACCAGAGGCCACTGAGTAGTGTGTTCTGGGACTAGTAGCTAAAGCTGCCCCAGTGACTTGGATGGACTTGAGGACTGGATAAATGAGGAACCATTTTGGCCAGCAGAGCTCAGGGGTCTTTAGAGGCAGTCCAAGGTGCATAGAGAAGGGGCCAGAGGCCAGAATGACTTTTGTTAGTGCCTTTGTTTGGAGCCTTGTGCTTACAGGAGTTTGTCTTTCTAGAGAAAAGAGAATACACAGGATAATGGGGTTGAGGTGTTTGTGTATTGCATATTGGTCTCTTGTCTTTTGTATGAATAGACCACATTTCATCTGCTGTTGATGGGCGTTTGGGTAGATTTCAGTTTAGGGCTGTTAGAGATAGTTCTGATATCGACATTGTATTATGTAATTTTGGTAAATAGGTTACTAGTTTCTTTTTTTGCATTATAACATGTTTCAGGTGTGCACCATTAAAAATCAACATGTTAAGAAGAAATTGTCCTAAAACAACAAATCAACACATGTGTATACTACATTGATTTCACCACTAAAAGTCCAATTCTATTCATCACCATACAGTTGTTCCATTTACCTGATTTACCTACTCCACTTCCTCCTTCCCTTCTGGTAACCACTAATTTGGACTTACAGTGTAAAAGTTTATTTTTGCTTTATTTATTAGTTCAGCCCCTTTTTATTCTGTATACCACATAGGAGTGAAATCACATAATGTTTACATTTTTCCCTTCGACTCATTTCACTTAACATAATACTCTCTAGGTGCATCCATGTTGATGCAAATGGCAGGCTTTCAGCTTTTTTAATAGTTAAGTAGCATTCTGTTGTGTATATATACACCAAATCTTCTTTATCCAGTGTCTCCTGAGGGCATTTAATAATTAACAATATAAAATACATCATAAAGTAATATAACATGGTACACAGAGCAATTACTGAAAAAAACTGAGGAATGTTTGTTATGACAATAAATGCGAATGGCTTAACATTAAACTCATTTACCTTTTATTAAAAAAGAAAGATGTTCAGTTTCCCTCATAAAGCAAGACTTACTATGTGTGGCATATGGGAGATTCTTAAATTGATTCCAGAAAGTTAAGCATAAGGGATGGGCAAAAAGGTGTGCCAGGAGAATGGAAACAACACAGTAGTGTGTGTGAGCCTATCAACTGAGACCTTTTCAAATGCTAAAATCCACAGTTCACAAAGATAAAAAAAGATTTATACCACAAATAATGTAACTACCATTGTTATAAAGCAGATACCATCGGACATCCATAGAGACATAGATAGAAGCAAATAATTATAAGATGCCCATTATCTCCCCTATTATTTAACTTGTGCTGAAGGATTAGCAAGTCCTGTTATAGAAGAGCCTCAACTAGAGGCAAAAGCCTAGGGAAAGGAACTGTACTTGTAGATGATGCAGTATATATAACAGTTATATACCATAATTAGTACAAGGCAGGTCAAATAGACAAAAATAAGTTCATAGAGACCTAATAGCATAATATGTAGATCTTGAGAATGTAGTTCAGACTTTACACTCTGATAATAGGCAGTAAATCTTATTATCAAGTACACATGGACATTAACAAAAGTTGATCATACATTAGGTCAGAAAGCAAGCATTGTATTCCATGAAACAAAAATATTACAAATAACACTGACCAAACCTAGTTATTTATAGCAGTGAAAATAGAAGTACTGTTTTACTTGGAAATCTCTGAAACAATTCTTGGATGAAAGGAGAAAATAGACTAAAATGATAGAATTCTAAAAACTGAAACTCTACATATCAAAATCTATGGAATACTTTTAAAACAACTAATGGAGGGAAAATTAGTCTTAAATGCTTCATGAAAATGAAAGAAGGAAAATAAACTAAATTCCCAGCTCAAAAAGTCAGAAAAAAATAACAAAATAGAAATAACAAGAAAGAACTTAATAAAGATAAAAGTTTATGATGTAGAAAGTTTATGATGTAGGAAATAAAAAATGTGTCATTAGTGAACTAGAGTAACCACTGGCTAAAAGCACAAAACAAATACAGAGAAGGGGGAATAACCATCAGAAATAAAAGAAATTTAGGGCTCACTGGTGGCACAAGGGGTTAAGATGCAACCTATGAAGCTACCCGCAGCCACTGTAGCACTAGTTTGATACCTGGCCAGGGAGATACCCACATGGTGCAGCAGATCTCTCCTGAGTCTCCCGCTGCTCCCCTCAGCAGTGTATTTCAGTCAATCTGCCTGTTCTGTTCCCCATTCTGTCTCTGGTGAATCCTCTCACCCCCCCACACCTCTGGCCTATACCCCAGTTCTTGTATACATAAATAAATAAATCTTTAAAAAAAAAAGAAAAGAAATGTAAAAATCTTAAGATTAGATGAACTGGACGGTTTCTTTAGAAAACACAAATCAGAAATTGATCACAGAGGTGGAAAGCTTAAGTTGACTAAATTCCATGGAAGGAATTCACAAAAAAACCATCACATTCAGATAATTTCCTTTGGCATTGGGTGAGACCTTTGAAAGTCAAATAGTACCAATGCTATGTAAATTGTTTCAGAGCATAGTAAAAACAAAACATACATCATTCCCACATTCTTTTTATGAAGCAAGTGTAACCTGGTTATCTAACTTGATAAAGAGTGTGCTTAAAAGGATTTCAGGTTAATATTACTTACCACTATTGATGCCATAACAGGAAATGTTAGCTACCAGACTCAACTTCATGTTAAATTTATACATCATGGCCAAGTGAGATTGATTGTAGGAACGCAAGGTTCTAGGAAATCCCCTAATGTCTTAATATAAAGGAGAAAGATTATTTTCATAGACTGAAAAAAGCCTTTAAGAGAATTCAACATCTGTTTTTTGATAGGAACACTCAAAAAAAAAATAGTAATTGAACATTTTAACATGGTAAAGCTTAATATATACCATCTTAATAAATATTCTGATCTACTAAGATCAGAAACAAAGCAAAAATGCCTACTATCTTCCCTGTTATTTGACTTACACTGAAGGATTAGCAAGTGTAGTTAGAAGAGGTTCAACTAGAGATAAAGGACTTGGAAAAGAAAATCGTGTATACATAACATAGCATAGTAAAAAATGCTAGTGAATGTGTGATAAAACTAACTGAAGCAATAATTAAGGAACAGGCTATAATGTTGATATACATAGTCTTCCTGTATACAACCACCAAGGATAGTATGCTAGCATAAAAACTACCTTTACATTGCAACAAAGCAGACAAAATATTTAGTAATAAACCTTTGGAGCAAATTTTAAAATGGAGAAATGCAAAAGTAGACTTTGAACAAAGGAGAGACATCATTTTTCTGGATGTTTGGTTAACATCAGAATATCAGTTCTTCTGAATTTGGATTATAAATGTAAGACAATCCAGTAAACAAAAATTTAAAAATAGAGCTAGATGAATTTGCACAGAAGTTCATATAGGAAAGTAAAAGTGCAAAAATAACTAGGAATATATTGCAAAATAAAACATGCTATATTTAAAACAGTGTGGTACTGGCACATAAATAGCTCAAATGAAATACAAGTCAGATGCTAGAAATAGATTCAAGTAGACAGAGAATTCAGGTATGTAATGTTGTATCTCAAATTCTAGGGACAATGATTACCTAGTTAACAAATGTTGCTGGACAGCTTGATAGCTGTTAGGAAATATATAAGATTAGATCTTTACTTTATGTCATACACAAAAATAAATTGCAAATGAATTAGAACTAAACATAAGTGAATGTATATAAGCACTAAATGAAAGCCTACATGAATTTTTCTGTATTTTAGGGGGGAAGGTAAAGAAAGTATGATTCAAAATTTACTTAGTTTTAAAAAGTGGTAAATTTGACTGTAAAAAAATTTTAAATCCCACTCTACTAGTAAGGAATTATAAACAGTGTCAAAAGACAACCAGCAAACTGGCGGGAAATATTTGTAGCACAGATCACAAAGGACTAGTATCACTTATATTTATGGTGGTCTTAAAAATTGAGCATGGATAGCTCCTAAGATGTAAATGTATGGAAGGATGTTCACCTTTATTCATAATGCTAGAAATGCATATTAAAACCACACTGAGTAATTTCTCACCCATCAGATTGGCCAAAAAAAAAAAAAAAAGCTTGAAAAAACTTTCATTAGTAAGTCCATGAAGAAGCAGGCATGTTCATATGTTTCTGGTAGGGGAAATGGTAATATCTAAGACTAAATAAACATTTATTTACACTTTGACCCAGTAATCCCACTTTTAGGAGTTTACCCTGAAGATACACTTCCCACTTTGCAAGATTATAGACACACAATGCTACAGTGTTTATTTGTAATGGCAAAATTATTTGGAACAACTTGAATATTAGTTTCAGAATAATAAGACAGATTTGTTGAATACTGGGTGCATTTACAGAATAGAGTGTTATGCAGGAGTGAAAAAGAATGAGGAAGATCTCTGTGGTCTGATAGGGAGTAATTCCCAAGATATTTTAAGTGAAGAGATCCAAAGTGCAAAAGAGTATACTCTTATTTTTCATCTAAGCCTTAAGGGGGAATTACAAAGATGTAAAGCTATCTGTTCATTTGTGCAATGCACACCCTAAATATACATATAAAATCAATGAGACTAATAACAGGATGAATGGATATATGTTGGAAAGGATGGAGGAGTGACACTACTAAATTATATTAATTTTTACATATTAATTAACTGGGCAAAACCTTTAAAATAAAATAAAAAATGAAAACGAATCTGACCACGTTTCAAATAAGTAACCTTTGAATCCAGTATTTTGAATGTATATCTGTCATTAGAAATGGTTGTGAAGGGCCTCCGTGGTGGGGCAGCAGTTGAGCGCTGGGCTGCGAAGCTGCCTGCAGCCTCTGCAGCGCAGGTTTGATCCCCCGCCACCGGCGAGGGTCGCACATAGCACGCAGACCTCTCCTGCAGGCCCGCTGCTCCCCTCAGCAGTGTACTTCGTCAGACTGCCTGTTCTGCTCCCGCTCTGGCTCTGGTGAATTCTCTCACCCTCCCATGCTTCTCACTGTACCCAGTGCTTATATAAATAAATAAATAAATCTTTAAAAAAAAGAAAAGAAAGAAATGGTTGTGGAAGAAATACTGAAATTTATTTATTTAAAAAAAAGATTTATTTATTTATTTATACAAGTACTGGGTACAGTCAGAAGCGCGGGAGGGTGAGAGAATTCACCAGAGCAGGGAACAGAACAGGCAGACTGATGAAGTACACTACTGAGGGGAGCAGCGGGCCTGCAGGAGAGGTCTGTCGTGCCATGTGGGACCTTCGTTGGGGACCAGGAATCTAACCGGTGCTGCAGAGGCTGCAGGCAACTTCGCAGCCCAGTGCTCAACCGCTGCGACACCAGGGGAGGCCCAAGAAATACTGAATTTTAGTTAGCAGGTTTACTTTTTTGAAGTTACGTAGACCAGCAATTCTGAAACTATTTTCTTTATTTGAGGATTGAATAAAAAGTACATTTTGAGAATGTTGATAGTTAGATGTCTACTGAAGGAGTTATGAATATAGAAAAAGGGAAAAATAGAATGAACCCTGTAATTGACATGGACTCTGTTGAAGTACATCATTATGAACTCAGTTGTCATAGAAAATGTATTTGTGTATCTGGTTTTCTTAGTCTATCCTCTGGGATAGCTTCTTAGAAGTATGTGCATGTTCCTAAAAGGAAAACAGATCTCTTGGAGAAATGGCTGAATCTGGGCTTGGGGTAGCAGAATGTGTTGGATGAACCTTGAAGGTAATTCTAGAACATAAGGTAGTGCTCAAAGAATGATGGAGAAACATCAAAAGGGTATAGGAGCCACTTTGAGCTCTGGCAAATGTGGGACAATTTAAATCTGCAAACATGGTAAAATATTAATAAATGGGAAATTTCAGTGAAGGGTATATAAATTTTTTAGTACTATTCTGGAAATGTTTATGTAACTTTGATATGTAAGATTGAAAATAAAGCATAATAATTATAAACTCAAGTAGAACTTTTACAAAAGACTGCACTGGTTTATTCTCCCATGTAGTGTGCAAGACTATCCCCCTTCAGCAGGGCAGAGGTGCTGTTCTGCCTGTTGTTTCATTTCCTTGGAGAACCTGGGGTGGATGGGCGCTGTGTAGCCCTGTAATTCTGTAATATAGCACATCTTCAATTCTGCATTGTGGTGGCATCTTGTTCATTTGAGCTCAGGAGTTAATTTATCCCTGCAGGTTGTTGATGAGCGAGAATTTTTTGAGATCATGCCCAATTATGCCAAGAACATCATTGTTGGTTTTGCAAGAATGAACGGGAGGACTGTTGGAATTGTTGGCAACCAACCTAAGGTGGCTTCAGGTAGGAGGCTACATGCTCGCATAAACCTCTTGTGGCAATTGGAAACCTGGGCTGTCCACATTGTGCCCTTTCCTCAGAGAAAAGCTCACATATGTTGTAAAAGCTCTTTTAATGTTAATATTTCAAAAATGCTTCTTTCCTACCTGTATTTTAAGGGTTTATAGATAACTTTCCTCTTCAACTTATATGACCTTTACCTTTTCTGAGGTCTGCTTTCCATTCCCCCTAATTAGATATATGACTCATCATCTAAACTGTGAGCTCCGTGAGGGCAGAGGTGTTGGTGTCTTCTTCACAACATTTTAGTGACAGATTACATTGTGTAACATACACATACAGTGTTCCCTTTATACAGCCTAGGCATGTAGTAGGCTAACCATCTAGGTTTGTATAAATACACTGTGTGATGTTTATACAGTGACAAAATAACCTAATGGCACATTTCTCAAAATGTGTCCCTATCAATATATGGATATATTTTTTTATAGGGTAAACACAGATAACAACATTTGACTTTTTTTTTAAAGATTTATTTATTTATGCATACAACAGCTGGGGTACAGGCCAGAGATACAGGGGGTGAGAGGATTCACCAGAGACAGAGTGGGGAACAGAACAGGCAGACTGACTGAAATACACTGCTGAGGGGAGCAGCGGGCGAGACAGGAGAGGCCTGCTGCGCCATGTTGGTTGCTCCCTACCAGGCCGGTGTTCGAACTCATGCTGCAGAGTTTGCGAGTTGCCTCATAGTGCGGTGCTTAACCCCTGGCAACTACCAGGGAGGCCAAACATTTGTCATTTTAACCATTTTCAAGTGTATAGTATGGTGGCATTGATTACATTAACTTCATGTTCAGCCTCTGTTTCCCAAACTTTTCCAGATCACCCCAAATAGAGACTCCCACCTTACTCCTTGCCTTGTATCTGATCTTAGTGGGAAAGCTAGGTTTTCATCACTAAATATGATATTAACTATAGGTGTTTTGTAGATGTTATCAGTTGAGAAAGTACTTCTGTATTCTCAGTTATTGGATGTTTTTATCATGAGTGGGTGTTAGATTTTGTGAAAGCTTTTTCTGCATCTAGTGTGTTCATGGGATTTTCCTTCTTTAACCTACTGATGAAATGGATTATGTGAATTGATTTGTGAATGTTGAAACAATTTCGCATACGTGTGAAAATCCCACTTGGAGCAGTGCATTGATTTTATGCATTGCTGGATTTGATTTACTAATATTTTGTTGAGGATTTTTGGATGTATATTCCTGAGGGCATTGGTCTGTAGTTTCCTTACACTGATGTCTTTGTCTGATTTTGACATTAGGGTAATACTGGCCTCATAGAATGGATTAGGAAGTATTACCTCTGATTTTAGCTACTGGAATAGTGAATTGGCATAATTTCTTTTTTAAATGTTTTATAGAACTCACAAGTGAATCTTTTTGGGCTGCATTTAAAAAAACATAAGAAATAAAAGTGGTGTTACAAAACAAAAACAATATTTGATATCGGCTTTCATATTTCTCCATGTACTTTCTTTACTGGAAATCTTTATACAAATTTGTGACACCACCTATTACCCTTTCATTTTAACCTGAAGGACCTACCATTTATTGTAAGGCAGATCCAGTGGTAATGAACTCCTCAGCTTTATTTGGGAATGTTTTATTCTTTCAGCACTTTTAATATGTCATCACATTGCTTCTGGCTTCCATAGTTTCTACTGAAACATCATTTGACAATTTTATTGAAGATGGTTTTTATGTGATGAATCACTTCTCTCTGGCTAGTTTCAAAATTCTGTCTTTGATTCTTGACAGTTTGACTGTATGTCATAGCATAAGACCTGTTTGAGTTTATAGTAACTATCATAATGAAATAGTATTTTCTATAAATATTTGTAGACTCTTGCATCAAATCTGGGAAAGTTTTAGACGTTATTTTTTTTTTTACCCTACATATTTTTAAAATTTAATTTTTTATTAAATTAATAAATTTAAATATCAATTTAGTTTATAATAAAACTTATATATAATTTTACATTGTTGTTCAATGTTTGATTTCTTCTCTCAGGTGTAATCCCCATAAAATTCCCACCACCAATTCCCCTGTGCACCATCACCATAGTCCCTTGTGCTCTTCACTCCCCTGTTCTGATCCCTCTCCCCCCCACTCCCCTGCAGAATGTCTCCAGTTTATAGTTTGCCGGCTGGTTTTGTTTTTGTTTTTTCCTGATCCCTTGTTTGGTTACCCTATGTTCCGCCTGTAAGTGAAACTATCCAATATTTTTCCTTTTCCTTCTACTTCTGACTTATTTCATTAAGCATAATCCCTTTCAGCTCCATCCATGTTGCTGCAGATGGCATGAGTTTATCTTTTTTGACTGCTGAATAGAACCATGTATCTTGAGCCATGCATAAGAGTGTAGGTTTCCTTTTAGATTGTTTTTGTGCCCATTGGGTAGATTCTTGGCAGTGGAATTGCTAGGTCATATGGTAATTCCATTTTCAGTAGCTTGAGGATAGTCCACACAGCTTTCCATAGTGATTGGACCATTTTGCACTCCCACCAGCAGTGTAAGAGAGTTCCCTTTCCTCCACATCCTCACCAGCATTTGTTATTGCCAGTTTTTTTTTTTTTTTTAATAAGGGCTACTTTCACTGGTGTGAGGTGGTATCTTATTGTGGTTTTGATTTGCATTTCCCTGATTCTAAGTGATGTTGAACATTTTTCATATACCTATTGGCCATTTGGAGAAGTGTCTTTTTAGCTCTTCTGCCCATTTTTTGACTAGATTGTTGGCTTTGTTTTTGTTGAGTTGTGTGAGCTCTTTGTAGATCTTTGAAATCAGTCCCTTAGCAGTTTTATGGAGTGCAAATATTTTTTTCCAATCTCTAGGGTTTCTCTTTGTATTTGTTATTGTCTCTTTTGCTCTACAGAAGCTATTTAGTTTGATGTAATTTCATCTGTTTATCTTTTCCTTCACTTTCTTTGCTTCAGAGGATGAGTCTCTCAAGGTATTGGAGTGTTTTGCCTGTTATCTTCTATCTATTTTATGGTTTCAGGTCTTATGTTCAAGTCTTTCATCCATTTTGAGTTGGTTTTTGTGCATGGTATGAGGTAGTAGTTTACTTTCATTCTTTTGCAAGTGGTTTTCCCAGCATCATTTATTGAACAAATTATCCTTGTTCCATTGCATATTCTTTGCTCCTTTGTCATAGATTATTTGTCCATATATGTGTGGCTTTATTTCTGGGTTTTCATTTGATTCCATTGGATCTATGTGTCTGTTTTTATTCCAGTACCATACTGCTTTAATTATTATGACTTTTGTAGTATAATTTGAAGTCTGGGAGTGTGATACTTCCATTCTCCTTCTTTTTAGTCAGGAGAGCTTTGGCTATTCAAGTTTTTTTGTGATTCCATATAAATTTTAGTAATATTTGTTCTATTTCTTTGAAGACTGCCATTGAGATTTTTATCAGAATTGCATTAAATCTGTAAATTGCTTTTGGTAGGATGGCTGTTTTGATATTAGTTCTTCCAACACATGAACAAGGGATGTCTTTCTATTTCTTGTATCTTCTATTTCTTTTTAACACTTTTATAATTTTCTTTGTATAGGTCTTTTACCTCCTTTTTTTTTATTTATGCAAGAACCGGGGTACAGGCCATTTGTGCTGGAGGGCGAGAGGATTCACCAGAGACAGAGTGGGGAGCAGAACAGGTAGAATGACCAAAATATACTGCTGAGGGGAGTAGCAGGCGAGACAGGAGAGGTCTGCCGCGCGGCTTGTGGGGATCAGAACTGGCACTGTAGAGGCTGCGGACAGCTTCACAGTGCTGTGCTCAACCGCCTATGCCACCAGGGAGGCCCCTTCTACCTCCTTTGTTATGTTTATCCCAGGTATTTATTTTTTTGGTACAATTTTAAATGGGGTGGCTTTTTTGATTTCTTCTTCAGACTATTTGCATATAGGAAGGCTACTGATTTTTTTTTTTAGATTTATTTATTCATACAAGAGCTGGGTACAGGCCAGAGATGGGGAGGGGGAGGTGAGAGGATTCACCAGACACAGAGTGGGGGACAGAACAGGCAGGCTCTGAAATACACTGCTGAGGGAAGCAGCGGGCGAGTCAGGAGAGGTCTGCTGTGCCATGTGGGTCACCTCTCTGGCCAGGGATCAAACTCGTGCTGCAGTGGCTGCGGATTGCTTCAGGTTGCTTCTCAACCCCTTGTACCACCAGGGAGGCCCCAGGAAGTCTACTGATTTTTGTGTGTTGATTTTGTATCCTGTTACTTTACTAAGCTGGTTTATTGTTTTACTTAGTTTTTCTGTAGCGTTTTTAGGGTTCTCTATGTATGTTATATCATCGGCAAAAAGTGATAGCTTTACTTCTTTCCCTATTTGGATTCCTTGTTTGTCTTTCTCATCTTATTGCTCTGACTACGACTTCCAGTATTATATTGCAAAGTAGGCATGAGTATGGAATACGATCTTGTCTTATTCCAGATCTTAAAGGGAAGGCTTTCAGCTTTTCACCATTGAGAATAACATTGACTGTGTGTTTGTTGTGCATGGCTTTTATTATGTTTAGGTATGTTCCTTCTATTCCAAGAATTTCAAAGGCCATCATCATAAATAGTTGTTGAACTTTGCCAAATGCTTTCTCAGCATCTATTGATATAATCATTTGTTTTTTTTTGTTTTTGTTGATGTGTTAATTTTGGGGTGTTGAACCATCCTGTGCCCCTGGAATAAATCCCAGTCATGGTCTATTTTCCTTTTGATGCAAGTTGGATTTGGTTTGCTAGGATTTTATTGAGGATTTTTGCATCTGTGTTCATTAGGGAGATTGGCCTGTAGTTTTCTTTTTTTGTGTGTTTTCTTTGTTTGGTTTTCATATTAGTGTAATGTTGGCTTCATAAAATGTATTTGGTAGTATTCCTTCTTAATTTTTTTGAGACTTTTTCTGGGACAGGCACCAGTTAATCTTTG